TAGGTACTTTGGAGAAACAAATCCATAGCAACTCATGTATAAGAGAGTTTTATGTAAAGAAAGTGTGCATCACAAAAACATCCCAACCCAATGTTGCCCAAGCCCACAAGTCCAACATTAACCCATCACCAGTCCACAAAGTCCTCCACCTCACAAAACAGAGGCAATGACACCGACTGCAGGAGGAAAGCTGAGTCAGTGAACGAACAAGCATCTCAGCACTAGCAGGGGTCTCCACACAACTGCTCCAGCACCCAGGGCTGCATCGGGATAGGTCCATGTGGCTTCTCCTTGGGGATGTCTTGAAGGAAGTCAATCTTGCAAACTGAAGCAGGGAACTGCTAAGGCAGCTGCACCCTGGTGCAACCATCACAAAGCAAGAGACCCGAGAACCCGAAAGGCGAGGCTCACCACCCATTTATCCCTCCACCTTTCAATTAGCCCCACATGTGATTATCGGCCAGGTTGGCACAATTAACTAACTCACCATTCAAAAATATAAACATAGTATAAGAATGAGAGTATAGCAAATATCACACAAATTGACCAAAAACAGGCTATATAAGATTTTACTGGTAATTTCTTTCTTCCGTTGTTACTAGAATTAGTCCTGGATTGACCAACAAGGGGTCAATGAGCAGTTAGTACCCTCTTCCCTTCCTTGTCTCATTCCTCCTCCCCAAAAAAAAATCACTCGGAGGTCTTACAATTCCCAGCCACAAGTCTCTGCCCTATTTTCTGGCTCTGCATTCAAAACCTTGCTTCTGGCAGAGGTTGGACAGAGTTGAGGCCATTACTCAAGCGGATTTCTTCTCTTTCTGGAAATGGGCCAGGGCCTGCCGATTTGCAGCATTTTCCCATGTGTGCCACGTTCGTTATTATGTCCTTTCAACAACAACCCCTCTGTATTAGACTCACAGTCTCCCTCCTCACATTTACTCAACACTGGGGGCAAGCACAAAGGAGTTGAATCAGAAATGTGTTCGTAGTGTTTATCATTCAACACACATTTCCAGTGCACTGACAGTGAACTGCACACTAAGGACTGAGGCCTGGGAAGACCCTACCTCTCTGGAGCCAACCTCGACTAGCAGCCAAAGTCAATGGATTTCAAGACAAATTCTGAATCTCAATCAGGGAGTTCATCTTCCCATGAGTTTTAACAGGTGCACACACACACACAGATTTTATCAATAGGGAGCGGGGGTCTTTTATTTACTGCTTTTTTTGTAGTCAGATGAGTTATCCATTGTGCCACTGGCCCACCCACATTACTGCTTTTTCCATCTTTTGTTTTTTTCCCCCTCAGTGTGCCTCCTTTAAAATTTTCATGGACAATTTTTGTTAATTGTAGGCTTGACTGGGCCCAAAAATGCAAATAATAATAATAATAATAATTTTCTATGCTCAAATGGAATGAGTTTTATAAACTGGATAAAGGATTCTTGTATGATAATCCAAGGTCAAAGAGCAGTCATTAACATATTTTCAAATGTTCGTTGACATGGAGTGAATTCTGCATCTTGGCAAATAGAACCAACCAGAAGTTATTTACATGTGTGATGGGATCTTTTAATGTGATGTGATTTCCTTTTCATTCGATTGGTCTTTTCCCTTTCCCCCCTTTGAGACAGAGAGCCAGATCTTTGTATTAGGCTTAATGAAAAGCAGCTTGTATCTGTCTATACCCTGGTGTAAACTTACCTCCTCGCTTTAATCATCAAAAGCCTAAATATTTTGTCTAAGCATCAGGAGGAGGATGGTGAAGGCTGAAAGTTGAAGAGGATGCCAGTGAGCCTCTGCGGGCACAGAGATTGGGTAGGGCACAATCCTACAATCTAAGGGTTGCTTGTTTCCTGGCAGCATCAGGAGGAGGTGGCAGGGCCTCAGCGAGAAAGGGGTAGCTCAGTGGAGCTCACAATTGAACGGAACATTTTAAAAGAATTTGCTGATTGATGAATTGTTCTACAGGAAAAAGAGACACCAACTTAAATACCACTCCCAGAGCGGATTCATTAAGCTGTAAAGGGGACAAAAGCAAGACAAAGGCAAATCGCCTGGATGAGGGAAATGATCAGCCCAGGGCCATAATGATGTAGAAGTATTTAAGAATCTCAGCTACTTAGGATATTAAGAACAAAGAAAACTCTTGCAAAATCATGGCAGAACAGTCGGTCACATTTATAAAGCCAAAACAAAACATACTACTATCGATTGAGTCCATTCCAACTCATGGTGAGCCTATGGGACAAGGTAGAACTGGCCCTTTGGGTTTCCAAGACTATAACTCTTTGAAGGAGTAGAAAACCTCCTCTTTCTCTCACTCAGCTGCTGGTGGTTTCAAACTGTTGACTTGTGATTAGCAGCCTGAGACATAACCCATAGGTATGACTAAATAAATTGAAAAGGACATGATCAGGATAGTATATTACTATAGATTAGAAATGTTTATGACATTGGTTCATGGTATATCAAGCAAAATTGTTAGGGTGTGATTTATAACTATGTGAGTCTAGGACCCGAATTTCCATTAACAGCACACACAAGTCCCTGAGAGTAGGCTCGCCCTCCCTGACGTGACTCAGGGAGTGGTTGTAATCCATTTTCAAACCACTCTGCCTGAGGGCAAAGGTTCTCATGATGCCAGTTAGTAAGCAGGAGCAGTGGTGCTGTAGTTGTTACACCTTGAGTTACTAACTTCAAGGTCAGCAGTTTGAAACCACCAGCCTCCAGAGGGAGTAAAGCCTGGCTTCCTACTCCTATAAGGAGGTAGAGTCTTGAGGCAGGCCCTGCCCTCACTACGAGTGAGCATGACTGGACAGCCGTGAGTTGGGAGTTAGTGGTCACACAGAACTCAATAGAAGTTGAATCAATGTAGAGACTCAAAAATGGATTTTGGTATTCCACTGTAAACCATAGTTTTCTACTAACATATTGCTCAGAATTTAAGTTCTAACACAGAAATTAAAATAATGATATAACTGTATTAGAGAAAGAGTAGCTTTATAAAACAAGTGAAAAGATTATTGAATTAACCATGAATCAAGGTGCTGATGTCTTACATGGGGCTGGAGCTTGTAGGAGGAGAGATTTTAAATGAGTAAAACCAAGAAGAATTTCTAAAGCTTGTTAGTTAGTGCCTGATCTTGGGCACCATGTAGTGATGGAGGTGCCATAATAACATAATTGTTAAATGCTATACTGCTAACTGAAAGGTCAGCAATTCAAAAATCATCAAGTAAAGCATTGTATAATAAATATATACTCGAATTCTAGAAAATATGTTTCATTATACATATTGGTGGCCAAGGTGGTTTCAATAGAGGAGCTGGTAATTCAAAGGACTTCCAGGTATCACTAGGAGACACAATCAAAACCGATCTACTTACTTAGAGATTACAGTTTCAGAAACGATCTGGGGCAGTTCTACTCTGTTCTGTAGGGTTGCTATGAACCTGAATGGACTTCTTCACAAATAGCAACAGCACGGGGTAACAGAAAGGGCGTTTTTGTTGGTTTGTTGTTTTAATATGAAATGACCAAGGGTGGACATTGATAGTGCTGGTTGGCTACACTAGGGAACACAATAGTATGAGTGCAACAAAGTTGTATAGGGACCGATTATAAGTTTACTTTCTGACAGGTCATACTGAAATAGCCTTTGGACAAACATCTTGTAAAGAAATGGTTGGAATATTTGTTTGGAATCATTCTTTTAATGAAAACTCTTTTAAGTTATTAGAATCACAAGTAGAGGGTGAAGGTTGGTGATCTTATTTTTATTAACAATATTAATGTTTTGAATAATCATCAATTCATATTTTTGTCTTCTTATGAAAGTATTACTCTTTCTTTATTCAATGGAGTTATCTTCAAAGCAGCTTGCTCTAAAATTTGTGCATACCATGGTCTGTCAATTCATAGGTAAATAATTCTTATTTAAGGGTTACTTTAATATTCTAGAGTTGCAAATATCTAGAGTCTCAGCATATTAACTTTAGGGGAAAATATATTATCACCCCCCTTTTTTTACAATGCTGTCTTCCAAATTATTTTAAATCTCTAATTGTCATTTTTCTAATAGAATAACGTTTTGTCTTACTTACCCTCATTCACAGCAATTACATTTCTTCTGATGATTTCTTAGTTGCTACATAGCATAATAGCATGCAGGCAAGAGCATTTTATGTGAAGTAAAAATAATATAAAAATAAACCTGTATTTTCTCTCTCACCTAGTTTTAGTTTAAATCATTGGCAGATCTCAGTGGGAACGTCATTCTGTCTGAGTCACGCAAAAATAGAAAAGAGGATACAGGGTCAAAAGAAACAACTTATGAAAAATAAATTAGATTAGCACTTGCACAGGCTGACTGCTTCCAACCCTGTAGTCTTGGGCGCTTACATTTTGCCCCTTCTTGGTTCATGCAAAGTTGAAAAAAGAAGGTGGGAGAAATGCAGAGAACACAGTCAAATGAAAGCCTGGAGTAGGGGGCAGGGGGTGGGGGGGGAGCATGCAAACTGACAAAGGAAGGTTTTATGTGCTCATCTACTGCCGTGACAAAAAGCTCTCACAGCCTCTACCTGAAAAAGACCGTAATGTTGCTGAGTAACGTTTTATTTGTACCTGGAACAGTGAACAATTGAAAATAAAAATTGTTGTCAAGTTGATGTCGACTCATGACAATTCCACGTGTGCTCAGTAGAGTTGCACTCCATAAGCTTTCCAGGACAGTGGCCTTGCCTCAGCAGCACCCAGGACCTTCCCCCAAAGGCCCCAGGTGGCCTGCCCCCAGGAACTTTCACTTAGCAGCCGAGAGTTTCACCATTTACACACCCAAGGGGCTCTCTCCAGAATAAAAGAAATGGTCAATGTGTAATGTTAACATCTGCCAATCACACAGTAGTTCATAAGCCCAAGTAAACATTATCAGATCATTTATATTTAGGAAAGTGAATTTCTTGGCAATAATAAAAGCTAACTGGCTTTGTGTTTTACAGGTACTACTGTGCCCGCGTTACTGAACAGTACTTCCAATCAACTCTACTTACACTTTCAATCTGATATCAGTGTGGCGGCTGCAGGCTTTCACCTGGAATATAAAAGTAAGGTCAACGATTCTCCATTGGGTTTTAATTGTTATCCTGAGTGTTTCACTTAAGGAAAAAATAAATCCACACTCTGATTATGTAGTAAAACATTATTCTCCTTAAAGGATGTTTTAGACTTACATAAAACCAGGTCTCACCAAACCTGTTTTTGTAAAATATATAGAAACAATTATGGTAAACCATAGAAATTAATATTTGGAACAATGAGGTACATTTGCAACCACTGTAAATTCAATTTGTTTGTGTGAAGAAAAACCCCAAAGAAATAATAATGTGAGTTTTCTTACGAATAATAACAAATATCCTCATTAGCATCCAGAAAACATAGAAAGCCATAATTTTCAAACAGATTATGATTACAAACCTTTTATATTTCTAAGCTCAAAGTTCTTAAAATTAGAACTAGCAAAGAGCAGTGACGCTATGCCTGCTTTTGTGTATTCTTCCTGTTAATTGGGCATATGCATTGCAAAAGAGCCGCTAACCTTTTAAAAATGGATGCAAGGCTGCGTGAATAGTCTGATAAATGGGATGACAAAGGTCAAATTCACAAATCGTCCCTGGCGTTTGATTATGCAGGTAAACCTTGTCAAAGTGAAATAAGAATTTCCAATGAGAAAGAGAGGTTTATTTTAGGACATGTTTTCAAGCACTAAAAAATGCTTAATGTTGATATTCATCTCCTTTAATAAGCAGTTGCAAATAAGCAAATACACAGATAAGCTTTAATAAGTGATCTTTTGAAGTGAGATAAACAGTGTACTAGAATGTAAATGCATGCATGGTTTTGAAAGGCCGATTTCCAGCTGATGATAAATATTCTGAACCAGACACAAACCACAGGGCTGTTTCACATTCTGGTTAAATTTCCCTACTTATTACAGGCATTTGTATGCAAGTTTATTCCAATTTATTTGAATAGGACTTCTTTAGTGACAGTGTAAAATTACTGTGGATGTGATTTATGTAGGATATGTTTGGAAAAAGCAACTACTTTGATACATTTTGCGAACATCTGTAGCTAGTAAACTATAAACTTCATTTGTGATAGTGTTAATAAATCCACTAATATTTTTAGCAGCCTTGGAGTGGCTGGATCTCTTATCTGTCCCTCTCAGAGCGGTCCTGCGGTTTCTGGCCTCCCTTCACATCTCACTGAAAGACGTGTGGGGAAAGCAATTTGTCAGCAGCTTGCTGTGCACACACACAGGCTTCACCTCCAAAAATGTCTGCATGCAACTTTATTACAGGTCTATAGGTGTAATTAATTAAAATCATGGTAGTATATATTCCTCATTGAATTGACTCTGATTCAAGAATCTGCTGACTCCCTTAAAACGGTTTCTTTTCATTGGGTCAAACATAACACTGTTTCCGTCTGTTACCATTTTGCTTTGCAAGTGTTTCCTTAGACGCCATTGTGCTGGTTGGTGTCATTTTTCTATAGACATTTTTCTGTTCTAGTTATTTTTTTGAGTTTGGAATGTGGACTATGAGATATCAATAGAATTATCTTATTGAGAGCCATGTCGGAGAATGAAGTTACCAAAATCTGACATCATGAGTGTAATCTGCTGACATAATTTTTTTCAATCTTCCACTAAATATCTCATTTCAAGTGGGTAAATATATGAATTTATATTTTTCAATAAAATGTATCTTAAAGACCTGGTAATGAAGATAGGAAAGTGCTTACTCTGTGCCACATTCTACGGTAAGGGTGTTACAACTGTTCATGCAGTGGTTTCCCAGCAGTCCTACAGGGGATCAGTATGTTCCATGTCCAAAGGTAAAGGAATAGATTATAGAAGGTCATTGTCATCTCCTAGTCAGAGTTATATTGCTAATAACTGACATAATGCAGAGGAATATATGAATGTGTGTGTGTGTCACTATTTATAGCTCTCTCAGTGTTCTGACAGGAAAGGTAACGTCTAGAGCACGCTGTCTTATAAACGGGAGCACTCTGCTTTATCAACCAGTACAGGCGGGTGGCAGTTGAATAGTACACGGAAGATCATAAACCCATACATCCCATGTCAATATCTATTTTACATGGGTCTGAACCAAGAGTTGCACACGTGCTCCCCTCTGAGGAGTTTCTGTGTTCTCATTGAATAACGAAGACCGGGCTAGCTCAATGACAGCATTCACTATTTAAATGAACATTGATTGGAATTTCCTCAAGAAAAATTTAAAAAGCAAAACCTTTCTGTGAAGGGATGGGATGCAAAATATTTCTGATAGCCAAATGAACTGCATGGAGCCCACATATGATGACCTCTGTCTACACAGTGAAGGAGAGGTCAACCGCACACTAACCCAAGGCCCTCTGCCACAAGTGGGAGTTCAGACTGGCCTCCCTCCTCTCTTTCTTTACCTATTCTGACACCAACCATTCATCACAAGACACTCCTCTTATCTCCTGGTTTCAATAAATCTTTCAATAGCCACACAAAACTCACAGAAAGAAAGAAAAAGGAAAAACAAAAACTCACAATTATATGTTATTTGTGTGTGTGTGTGTAAGTTAACATGTTACCAGGAAATTAACACAAGTCAGGGTTAAGAAACAGTAAGAATACGGTCATCAGTCCACAGTAGTGCATCTTATTTTTTTTAAAATTGTTTTATTAGGGGCTCATACAACTCTCATCACAATCCATACATACATCAATTGTGTACAGCACATTTGTACATTCATTGCCCTCCTCATTCTCAAAACATTTCCTCTCCACTTAAGTCCCTGGCATCAGGTCCTCATTTTTTTCCCCTCCCTCCCTGCTCCCTCCTCCCTCATGAGCCCTTGATAATTTATAAATTATTATTTTGTCATATCTTTCCCT